GCCCGTTGCAAGAGTCTGAGTAGCTACAGTACACATCGCAGGGGTAGGAGTAGTCACAGTGCCTGTCGCGGGGGTTGGAGTAGTCGCAGTGCCTGTTGCATTGTCGTCAGACCCAGAGAGCCTCTCTCCCCTTTCAATAGTGTTAAACAGAGCTCGGTAGGCATGGGCCAGGCCCCAGCACATTGCAGTGACTTGTGTCTCCCGCCAGGCCGACAGCATACTTCTTCCAAATATTCTGCTAGTTTATCAGGATTCTGCACTTGTTCGGGAGTGAAGTTCCAAAACACCGGAGGTGCCCACCGCCCCAGGCATTTGCCCATGCTGTTCCACACACCCTGCCACTCATAACTATCCAGCCTCGGGGTAGATCTCTGGGTGATATTCTTAAATTGCTTGCTAATCTTAGACAAAAGTGAAACAATATTCCCCAGAAGTACCAATAGAAGTATTTTAACTACCCAAGGGTGTTCAAAATACTGAAAAGTTGTTGTGATGAAGGAGGAAACATTATGGTAGAGGGTAGCAAAGGTGCCATTCTGCATTTCCTCCATAAAAAGCCTTTTGGAGGAAGAAGTATAATTGCTAAGTGTCTCCACAAGATAGTACCCAAAACACAGTAACGGCTTTAGTACAGAGCTCAGATACCAAGTTAAGCTCAAGGTCAGTGTCCTAAAAACAAATATCCCAGGCAAGACATCACTAATCATTGCAGAGTACAGCAGTCTGCAGAAGCCAACACCAATCTTTAACATGTACAGCAAAGGCGAGAGTATGATGCAAATCAAATAAACTGATATCATGACCTGCAACCGTTATTATCTCAAGCCCTTCATGCCCCACGTTGGGCATAAAAAAGGATGGTCAAGGTTTAGCCCCAGCCAGCAATTAAGCACCACGCAGCCACTCGTTCACTCCCCCCTTTCCCCAGTGGGACGGGGGAGAGAATCAGGAAAAACTCGTGGGTTGAGATAAGAACGGTTTAATAGGACAGCAAGAGAGAAGGAAACAGCAATGGTAACAACAATAATAATACCAACAAAGGAATGTACAAGAACAAGTGATGCCCAATACAGCAGTTGCTCACCACCTGGTGATCGATAGCCCGTCCCCGAGCAGTGATTCCCGCCCCCCAGCTAACTCCAGTTTATGTACTGGGCATGACGTTATATGGTAGGGAATATCTCTTTGGCCAGCCTGGGTCAGCTGTCCTGGTTGTGTCCCCTCCCAGCTTCCCATGCACCTCCATCCTTCTTGCTAGCAAGCCAGCATGAGAAGCTGGACTGTCCTTGACTGCCTAGCAACAACGCAAAACATCAGCATGTTATCAACATTTTCTCATCCCACATCCAAAACATAGCCCCACACTAGCTTCTGTGAAGAAAATCAACTCCATCCTGGCTGAAACCAGGACAATCAGGAGGAAAGAAAAATAAATAACAGCCTAATGGATGGCATCTTGGGGATAAAATGCAAACGTAAATCATTCTCAGTGACTAAGGCCAGCAATGAATAAACTTCAAATAGTATAGCTGGATGTCCATACCCTTCCTTGAAGAACTTTGTGGATAAGATGCTTTCCTGTTAGGATTTCCATGAAGGCAGGCTATGGTATTTTAGTTTCTGATCATGGCTGGAATATCTGTGGGGTCACGAACGGTTTGCAGGTGTGCAGTCATGGATAGCCTGGTAGTGAAGGAATACTCAGACTTTCTGAAACCTTGGAGCTTTCTTCCAAAGTGGCTCAGGTTTGAGACTCAGGTTGATATAAGGCAAAGATTCCCAGACATTGGATCTAGACTCAAATGATGACCAAGCTCAATCACTTGTGTCCCTGAGTTTGCTTGCCTAATTGCAGAAGGCTGTCAGGAAACCAGTCTAGATCCAGACTACACCTCCCAAATTCAGGTCTTCATTCTTGGTTTGTCTGTCTCCTTAACATAGATTGTTTTCATCCATCTATAGGCAGCATGCTGCATCTGATCATTACAAGACACAGGAGTCCAACAACCCTGATATTCCTTACCAGGAGGGACACAGGAGCTATCAGGAGTGAGTATTGGGTTTTTATGAATTTCCTGTTCTCTGTATTGTCCCTTCACCTACAGCCAGTCATCTTCCTCTACTATGCATAATACATGTACCACCTCCAAAGTTAGACAAGCTCTGAACACAACATTTCTGTGTGCAGTAATGAGGGTAATTCAACTGACAGAGCAGAAACTTGATGGGATAATTCACAAGATCAGAATATTAATATAAGTTGGTATGGTTTACTCTGAAAGGAGAGGAAGAAAACATGGGACAAGAGGTGCCCTTTATATTCAGGCTGCATGTACTTGTTTTGAGATCAGTAATACAGAATCATAGAATCTCTGGGTTGGAAGGGACCTTTTAAGGTCATCTATCCAACCTCCCTGCAATAAGCAGGGACATCTTCAACTAGATCAGCTGCTCAGAGCCTCGTCCAACCTGACCTTGAATGTTTCCAGGGATGGGGCATCTACCACCACTCTGGCCAACCTGTGGCAATGTTTCACTACCCTCACTGTGAAAAATTTCTTCCCTGTATCTTGTCTAAATATACCCTCTCTTAGTTTAAAACCATTACCCCCTGTCCTGTTGCAACAGACCCTGCTAAAAAGTCTGCCCCCATCTTTCTTATAAGCCCCCATTAAGTACTGGAAGGCTGCAGTAAGGTCTCCCCGGAGCCTTCTCTTCTCCAGGCTGAACAACCCCAGCTCTCCCAGCCTGTCCTCGTAGGAGAGGTGTTCTGTCCCTCTGATCATTTTTGTGGCCTCCTCTGGACTCGCTCCAACAGGTCCATGTCTTTCCTGTGCTGAGGGCTCCAGAGCTGGACACAGGACTCCAGGTGGGGTCTCACCAGAGCAGAGTAGAGGGGCAGAATCACCTCCCTCAACGTGCTGGCCACGCTGCTTTTGATGCAGCCCAGGATATGGTTGGCCTTCTGGTCTGTGAGTACACATAGCCAGCTCATGTCCAGCTTTTCCCTTGATTCAAGCATAAATCCTTGGTGGGGGCTTTTAGGGGAGGTTGATAAGCTCTCTTGGAATTTTTCCCAGGTGCTCTGCACTTTCCTACCTCACAGCTTTTTTTCTGGGATTGAGACTATTCAATAGTAGCAAGTCCACTGTTGTCCCAGTGTCCAAGTACAAATAAAGAGATCTCACAAAATAATCTGTTTCAGAGCATTTCCTGGAGGGGTCACCCAAAAAGAGCTTCAGGAGAAAGAGGAATATAAGAAGCTGAAAGAGAAGAATAAACAGCTAGAGGCAAGGTAAGGTATTTATTCAGATTTCTGATGCAATGTGTGTTTCTACATTGAAAAGCCACTTACTTCTTGCACCCTCCAGTCTTTAGGAACTCTTTGTTTCTGACCAGACAGCCTGGACACTTTCTCCCCAGACTTGCAACCTGCCAGCATCTCTTTGTAACTGATTTCTGGAAGATGGCATGGGTTGTTCTGGAAAAGGAAGGAGACATTCCCAAGCTGAACATGTTAATAAAAGGAATCATCTTACAATGACATAGGCAAAATGCCACTCTTGATCACATTCCACTGTGATCATGCAAAATTGAGCTGAGAAAGCACTATTTCGCACATGAAAGCTGCTTGCCAGCTATATAATATAGTTGAGAAGTACATTGTAGAAAATATGCAATTCATGAAATAGATTCATAATACACTCTAAGAGTTACACTTATTCATTGTTTCATCTTGTCTTAGCTAAGTTTTTTAATATCTTTCTTGCCCCAGAAACCAAGAGCTCTTGTCTAAAGTGATGGGCATGCACAAGCACTCTGAGAACATGAATGATGCCTCACGTTTGACTGCTGTGCTGCACATGTATGAGATACTCAGGGTACATGACTGGGAAAAAATGAGGAGCTCCCCATCCTCCTACTTGACGTATAAAACTGGCAGCAGCATAATTAAGGTTTGTTCATGTCCATTTTCTCAATCTGAGTCTTATCAAATCAATATGGTGTAGCCAGTATTGCAGGCTTTGAGTATTAGTATTTCTGTGTCAGACAGCGCTGAGGCTAAGCTGGGTCTCTGATTTTCCAGTGCAGCAGGGCCTGTGTAATGATGTAGAGAGCAAACAGATGATGACCTGCTTCTTCCTGCCTTTCAGAAGGGCACATTCAAATCCCAAAACTTGTGCATGTTAAGCACAAGTGGGAAACTACAGCCCAGTTTCCTTATGGTTAATGCTTTAAGTACTAGATGGAACACCTCATTCTGATGCCTGACTCACTGCTCTGATGCTGGGGGAATTTAAGGAAAATATCAAAATGGTACAGCTTAAAGTATGAGACTGAGATGAGGCCATTATTAGCATTGGTTGTGATGATAAGGCCCCAAGATGCTCAAGAATGGGCTTCAACATGCAAACATCTGGATGAAACAGTTTATTACCCAGATATTGAAGACATATTTCAATCAATTAGTGGGTTTAGAATTTACTCTAATGAAGATGTGGTTTCAGCACATGCTTTCCATACTACTCATTTCAAGGTGATTGCTGCTGTAATCAGCTGTTGGCTTTGCATTGCAGAAGCTGTTTGATGCCTGTGAGAAAGATATACAGCAGAGAACAACTAACATATTTGAAGTTCTTGACATTCCACATTCGAATGACACTATGACCAACAGCAAACAGGTACTTTATGTTTCTGTGTAGCTGGACCCAGGCAGTGGGATAAAAGGTCCATCTGCACCTGCCATTCATTTAGAACTTAGCTTCTGCTAGGGACACTGCTCAAAATATATTGGTAATGACAGTGGAGATAACTTCTGAGATGAGAGGGATGGGGATGTGGAAGGCTGAGCTCCAGCAACCTTTCTGTGTCCCACGATACACAGACACACACTGCACGTCTGAATTGTCCAGCTGGCTGAGGCACATAGACAAGGCAGAAAACATTTTCCAGCCCTGTGTTGCTTTTATGGGACCTTCTTACAAAGCTTGAAATTTGCAGCTTCTCTTTGCCAGAAATGAAAATTCCCAGTGCTCAGGGACTGTACTGTTGGCCACACCACATGCTAACAGTCTGCTTTGTGCTGTGCTTGGTTTGTAGGGGATGATGCAAGAGATAAGGAATCTCTTCAGATACTCCTATTACCAAAACCACTCCGAGTTTTACAGCAAAATTATCACTGTAAGTAAAGACACTGCCCAGGAACAGGGGCAGTGGTTCAATTTTCTGGCATGTCTGTGCAGCTTGGTATTTAAAAAAATGGGAGGTCTCCCTTCTGCTTGGGGTTGCTTTCCAATTGTCATGACGGTCTTCCAGCCCATATACTCCCAAAACATTCTCACAGGCGTGCATAGCGGTACATGTAACCTTGTAAGGGAGATACAAAGCTGCGCCGGGAGCAGTGGGGAATCGCAGGACAGGCAGGGCAGTGCCCTTAGCAACAAGGGCACAGTCCTACCAGACCCAAGCAAGTGCAAAGAGTAGGGCCAGTGGTGGTGATCAGGGTCAGCCACAGACCGGTGATCATCAGGCAAACCCACGGTGACCAGGCAGGTCAAGACTGAGCTGGGAAGTCAGTCTGTAGGTCAGGATCAGCAAGGCTGGGCACAGGCATCCCAACATCACAGCTCAGGCAAGCACCCAGCCACCGCTGAGTTTGAATCAGCTCCCAGGCCAAGTGGCGGAGGGTCTGTTATGAGAAGTCTGAGGCTTCTCGTAACTCCTTCTCACACCACCCTTTCTGCCAGCTTAGCTGTTTTTCACAACAGTCAAATCCAAGGTTATAAGGCCGTGCTATATCAGAGCTGATCTTGAACACAAGCAGCCAAACCCCTGGAGAAGCAAGGGAAAGCTTGCAGATACTGTTGGTATGCACAGAGCCCTGATACTTGTTATCCAAATGGACTACGGTCTAGCTCTTTTTTTTTTTTCCTGGAAAATACATATATATATATATGTCATATATATCACATATATATGAAGCTTAAAAAGAGCAGCTTCCTCCTCTTGCAGCTTGCTGGGCCTCTCCAGAAGCTCAGCCTTGTCAAGCTCTTTGCAGATCTCTCTGTGAGGTAATAGAGACAGTTGCTGGATGCTGGAACAGTCCAGAAGCCAGGACTTAGTAAATAAAAGAAACTTTAAAGTGACCCTGGGACCCCTGCCTGTCCCACTCAAATGGTACCATCAGCTTTGTCAAAGTTATTCAGTGCTTGGTTCATGTATAGCAGCTGCACAGAATGAGAGCAGGGAGGCAATGTAACATTACATCAATATAACATTACAAAGCTTTGAAAACTGTTCTCACTTGATTTTCAGCAAGCTGGCATTGACCCAAAAACTGCCATTCAAAGACAGTTCATGCTGCAGTGCTGCAAAACTTACTGTTTGTTGCTTCTTCAAGACCCACCAGTAAATGCTGTGTGGAACCTACAGGAAAGCTCAAGACAATATTTAGAGCATGTGGACAAGAAAGGCTGGGAGCACTGGAAAAAACCAGCATTTCTGTGGCCTATAATGAAATGTGGGGAACAAGTCATTCTGAAAGGAGTAGTCTGGGATGAGAAGTAGCATGACTTCAGACTCAAGCTACTCACTTATATGACCACAAGAAGATGAAACAGCTGCTGTGCAATACGCTGCTTTTCTTTCTCCCACTAACTGCCTGCGTTTCAGAGCTTGTAAGTTAGACACTCCTGACTTGGGACATCTAGGACAAATCACTGCTTACAAACATGTATTAAAAATTGAAGATGTTTGCCTCAGCGGCATAAATACATTTTATGTAACATTTGTTCCTTGCTGTCTCTCAACAGCATTTGTATGGAAAGAGAATCTGTGTTTTTAGCCTACCTTACCTGCTCTTCACAAATGCTTATGACATATTGTCAGATAACAGTGGGGATCTCAGTCACCCTGTGGAGGCACTTCCGTCCTCACCAACAGCATGTAGTAGGATCAATGCTTTGTGGGATCCCCAACAGCAGTGGTATCTCTGCCCTCCCCTGTGTCTATAGGTGCACAAACTGCAGGCTCATGCTTTCTGAATCAGCAGCAAGGATGAAGATGGCCTGTAGGGAAACGAGCATCCTTCTTGAGAAAAATGTACTTAGCTGAGAAAGAGATCAAAGCACTAAAAGACAAGGCTCACAATGGCTACAACGGACTCTCAGAAGACAGGTGTGCGTAGGGATCTGTACCCGGACACAGACACCGAGAACCACTCTTATATGCCACAAGGCCACTCGTCTCCACACAAATGCCGCTTGCCTGTTAGTACTCAGCTGCCTTCCTATGTCTGTACAATTTACCACTCCATAGCCCTTCAGCTACATACCTGCCACAGCTCTTGATCAAAGTGCTCTAAAAGCTGTATTTCACAGCGTAAGGGGGATGCAATGAGGCAAATTTATGTGCTCGTGTGACAAAATATTCAATGAGAATCTTGAGATTTGCTAAATAAAAAAGACTGGAAATCCTGCGGTGTGCCTGTCAAGTCCTTTCCTACAGTTCTGCCTTCTAGTCCAGCAGTTTCCTTGGCTGCACAAACTCCCTGGCATTTTCTCGGCGGTCCCCACAGACAAATTTCTGTGCAGCTCTCTGCAAGCAAATTGCTCTGCTTCTCTCAGGAATCCACTGTTCTTTGAGCATGTTGCAAGTCACTGACAACATGAGCTGGGATCCAGGTATGTGCAAGAAAATTGGTTTTTAGAAAACCAAAGTATTCTGAGAAACTGACTGTAAAAGACCTTTACTGGAAATATTTATTATGGAATAGAGCAGGTGAATTAAAATTACATGTGCACCATATTTCCTACAACTTTCACAAAAAGAAAGAACCACAATAGTTAGTTTTTCATACTTTGTAAGGTGTTGCAGACTACGGTGGGCAGTGCATTGACACGTCAACTTGTCCAGGCTTCAGAAGGTAAATAACAGGGAAGTTGCCCAGTACCACCACGTGGGAGCTCCAGCATGACCCTGAGCCAAATGCTGTGTGATTATATAGGTGCAATAGTATGTACATGGCATGCTGCCATGCTCTATTTGTTACCCGCTTAGAAATTTTGTTAGCCTAATTTTTAAGATCCTGTGCCTCTTGAGTCAGTCTGGTCCTGTTCTATGGATCAGTTTTATCTCTGAAGTTCATTGCTTCTGCAGCTGCATGGTCCTTTCCTTTGATTTTTCTTCACTTAACATCTTTTTTGCTGGCTTTAGGCTAAAACACTCAAGTTACAAAGCTTTATATTTCAAAGGTTGACTTAAAAGCCTCCAGAAGGCTACAAGCACTGTTGTATCTTTTCCAGCAGGCTTCACACACACTTCCTAGTCTCTCTCAGAGGCAGGAGCAGACTCTTTGCTCAGTTTGTACAGCACCTAGCAGAATCCAGCAGATCTGGGCTCTGAGGAACTGCTGAAACATCTTTTTCCCTGTTACATACACTCAGCTGATCTCAAAGGAGCAACAATTTCCCTCTCCCTGCAAAAGGTGTCATTTGGCCTAGAGTGCAGGAGCCCCAAAACAGAGTGGGCTGTCTCCTTCCTGCGCAGTACAAGATTTGTAACTGCTCACAACAGACCAGGTACTTCATCCATTAGCAACAAAGGTCCACTGATTGCCACAAAGTGTCTCTTTGTGTGAAATTTCCCCATTGCCAGACTCCCACATCTCTTGTTGCAAAGGACAACATCTAGTCCCTGACCCAACGCAACCTCTTTTCCCAGTTCTTGATGTCTGAGGGTGAGATTTCACCTGGGGCTGAACATCCAGTGCGCTGGTGTGGTGAGTTAGGCCACACATTTGGTGTGGGTTGCATTCCTTAAACCTCTCCTACCAGCAAAGCGAGATGCAAGGATTTTAGTATCAAATGCCCCAGCTAAGTCTAAGCACTTTGGAGCAATCAACAAAACACCATTGTTCTAGAAAGGTCGCTGGGGGCAGGGATAATGGCTGTGGCTGCTGCTGACCTGTCCTGAGGCAGCCTGAAGCCTCCAAACAAGAACCTGAAAAACAGGTTGAGTCACACAGATACACCCTGCCTTCCTCCGTGTTGCAGAGGGGGCAATAATGAAATAACCCAGAGCTGTCTTCCTTTCCATCTTTGTCTCTACACCATCATTAAGAGACTTGGAGAAATGCTACTGCTACTACTGAAATGTTGTTCTCCCATAGCTTCTTCCACCCTGTAACTCTTGGGGATAAGCAGATTTTTCTATGGCCTGAGACGTGAGTTGTATTTCCCACCAGCTCCTCCTCCTCCCCTCCCTTTTCATCAGTCAACACAACCATGCAAGAGCCTCCTCCTCGCTTGGTCTCATTTGCTATCTAAACCAAGCTAAGACAGTTCCGACCTAGACTTTGTTCAAATCTCAGTGGAGACCCTGAGACCCTTTCCCTGCTCATATACTCTTCATCCAGAAGAAGGGGGGCAAGTCTACCCATATCTCTACACCTTACATCTCACAGATGGATGGCAAACAATGGGAGTCTAAGTTTGCTCATCCCTGCCAGAGACAACATCTCCTGCAAGACAAGAGCTCCGCACAAATGAATTCACATAGCCAAGTGGGTTAGATCCTCCACCTGGTATGCAGAAAGGATTCCCCTGTGTTACACTATCATCCTACCAGTGATGCAGGATTATCCCTGGAGCTAAGGCACGATGGCTTTTCTTCACTCTGTAGGATGCAACTAGTTGCTATTTCAGTCCTTCAGACTTTGGTGGGAGATCTGAATGACAGCAGTTATAATCCATGGATATCTGCTTTGCTGTTAGCTGTGTTTTGACCTTTCCTCTCTCTGTGATGTACTTTCATTTATTTCACACATGCAGGAAGCTTTGGTGAGAGAACAGATGGGTCAGTGAGCCATGGGATTTGTCTCTTGTCCCTCAGTGACTTACTTTCTAACAGCTACAAAGGACCAGGGTTCAGGGGTTTGGATACGGGGAGGGACAAAGTGCAAGCAGATCCTTTGGCTCTCAGCAAGTCTCCTGCCCATCGCAAGAAAGCAACAGAACCAGCATGCACAAGTCTCAGCTCTTGGAAGAAGGAGCAAGCCAGCCTTGTGATTATCCAGTGGGCTCCATTTAGATCATTAGAAGTACCTGGTCAGTGCTGTTAGCAGAGCCCTTAGGGTCTCAGATTTTTTTTTTTTTTTTTTTTTGTGTAAAAAGATGGTAATGAAACCTACAGGTCCTGCAAGACAGATGTCCTCCCTTAGTTATCCCAGAGCAAATACTTCATAGACACAGCAGAAGCTCTAGCCCAATCACTGTCCCTTCCCCTCAGAGAGAAAACCTGACCCCAGACACAGCTGTGGTGGTCCACAGCTAGCCAGCACCTCTGGATTTTCCCAGATCTTGCAACAACACATAATTAATACTTGCATTATATCACTGACTTCTCTTTAGAAGGTTTTTCACTTTTGAAAGTAATGACCATACTCTGGTTAAATGCATGGAGATACATCTCAAATGCCCATTTTCCAGAAGGGTACCTGGGAAGGCAAATAGCAGCTATTTCATCAAAAAGTTTCCCTAGAAATTCATTATCCCTCATGACAGACTCCTGTGAGAATTAAGATCACTCAAATAACAACATGGGTAATTTTGAAGGAATGACTGGGCAATTGACCTGAGGGTCAATGCTGAGATCTTTCGTAGCTGAAGCTGAGATGTTTCAGGCAATTTAGTTTTGTACAAGTGTTTGTCTTGGGATACTGAAACCAAATCCCGGACAAAACCTACCTCAACAGCTGCAGAAAGGCAGCACAAAAGCACAAAAAGAGCATAAACTTATTATTGTGTACCCTAATTTGATAGCATTGCAGTCATGTGCCACCCTTGATCCAGCTCAAGTACCAGTGGACAACTAAGCCGTGGCTGAGCATCACTACTGGTATGACTGTGGGCTCACGAATGCTTGAAACGCTCCTGAGAAAAATCTGTGCTGTGGGATGCTAAGCTCACATGGCTGTGAGCAGCCGCCTCAGCTGCGCCTGTCTCCTCTGCATTTGTCCCTAGCCCTTGCTGGCAGCTCTTGCCCTGCCAAGTCCAAGAACTTCCTCCTGGGA